TCGTCTCGTGACTAGACTCGTTCTTGATGCTTGGTGTTCAGTCGCTTCTGGGATGCTATCAGGTTTCTTCCATCGTAAGTCTCCCCGTTATCTTTGATGGTAGCTTTTTAGCTAAATGGGGGAATTTCGTTGGTTCCATTGTTGAAGAAATTCTTTTGTAAGAAATCACATGTCCTTTATTCGTTTGTTTTGTAATGCTTTCGACTGTTTTTTTTCCTTTTATTTTATCCTTAGTTGGCTTCTCCACCAATATGAGTGAACGATCCCATCGTATAATTGCTTGAGGGTCAAAAGAAAAGGGTAAAGGATCTGCTGAATATGATAGAATATCACAATCGATCGTTTCATTCCTATGGTGCGCATTTCGCTACTTTGGAATATTTTATGGTAAATGTCACAGCATATACAGTTTGAAGGCTTTCTTTACCTTGAGAAGATGAAAATTCTCCCGATTAATGTTGGGGGGCAGTTATAATTGTATGGTTCATATCTGTCTTTGTCATTCTTATGCGGGCATAGCGGCCTCATTAAACATATTGATCCATATTTCCATATTTGTCTGCTGCTTTTTACCAAAATATTGAGTTTGTGCTGTATCACATAGTGGGCATTATTATATGCCTAAATTGTCCTAAATTACAGCATATAATACAGCATATTATATGCAGTAATTTGGGACAATTATTGCAGAATAGTAAAAGATGCCGCTTTTTCCACTGTTGTCGTATTTGTATTTCCTTCCGTAACCAAAAGATTTGTAAATGAAAACTTAACAACGCACGTGGCATCAGACAATCAATAGCGTCGAAAAGCAGGCGTAATATCGATTTTTCCGAGACTGATTTTACCACGGTCGACGATTACAGTCGATATCCGAAAGTTGGGGTAGGCGTGTCACCGGAAGTGACGTGCACTTGATAGAAGTTGCGTGGATAAGCTGTTGCCAGCATGCTTTGCTGATATCCAGCGATGTATGTAGTTGGAAGCAGCTTATCCACTGTGAAGCCGCCATTTTATTTATATAATTATATTTATTTTATTTTATTTTATTTATATCTAATTTATTCAAGCTGCTCTTGACACTGATGAACTCAATCCTCAGACATACCTCAGGCTGTCCACAGCTATAGCTAGCTATCTATAACTACCACAGCTTCTTATAACCATTGTGATCTTCACACATTCAAACTTTTGCCACATTTTAATTGGCTCATCCATCTCAGACTCCCACCCCCTTCCAAGGCTTACTCCCATAGCTTTCACCTTTCTCCTACGGATCAAGAGCCGAGCCAGGCGCCGTTTTTCAATTCGTCTGTGCTCTCCCTAAATCAGTGGCGTGACCATACGGAGAGTCCAATTAACCCCTAAACCACCACGGGTACTAATGATTTACTGAGTTCTAATAGCCACACGCAGTTGATGAAAAAACGGTACCATCTCGTTTTCGGAGACTACATTATCTAATGTCATCTGCTTGTTGCTAATCTGCATTTACGACTCATTGAGCACAGGAAACAAGCTATATCTCTCTCAAAGTAATGAAGTCTAGCGCTTCCGATCCCTAAATTGTGGCTATCATTTTTCCCATTTGAAGCATCAACTCTATTCAGATTGGTGGGGTAACACCAACTGATAATGATGGCGTGGAAAGGACGTGTCTAGACGAGCTTTTGCCACAAACGTCATCACTGGCGGTAGGCTACTGAATACTCTCTACCTATCCTGCTATCTCATCCGCTACGTCGTAGTCCACATGCGTCTGGGCGAGCGCGAGCATCTCGTCCATAAGTCCACATTAGTCGCTATCGAATCGCTTTGTAAGGCCCTAGCACCGTTGTCGTGCACTTTTGAGCCGTTTCAACGGCACATCTGTGATACTCGTGGGCTCTATCCCACCCACGGAACATTTTCTTTGACAAGACCTCATCTGGGGTTGTTGCTTTAAGGATAGTGACTTTACTACTGGTTCGCTCCTGCAGTTAAGTGTGTAGCTCGAGGAGGTACTCTGTCTTAACGAAGTGGATCAGTGACGAGTCGTGGAAGGCGTTTGTCGAACTTGTCGGTGAATCGCTTTGCGAATCGCACGGTTCGGTAAGCATTGTCTGGCACCTGCTTGAGGCATCATATTAATGGCTGTACGCTAACGGAACCTTCTTTACTTCAGTATACACCTTAATCTTACAACGATCATGATCCCGATCCTAAGTGGCAAATTTCCAGTTTTCCCATCTAACTTTTAACATTATAATTTCGAACGATAATGAACACTGTCTGGATTTGAGCTAACGGATGGCAATTCCGCGGGTTGGTGTGTGCCCTGATTTCGCGACTTTCTTTCATTGCGAACCCCCATCCGAAAGTTGCAAAATACCCATCTACTAGACCTGCATCAACGACGGTACGGAATGTTTCGGTGTTTAGGGGAACGCCTTAGGCACGCCATAAGTTATTTAGATAAAGAGTTTGCGAATAAATATTTGCCTTCTGCTAACTTCTTAATCTGCTCATCTTCCTCATGCACCATTAAAAATGGCAAGCCTCCGAAAGCTGCTTCAGATAAGTTGTTACAGTATGGCATTTTGTTGTGTTGCGCTCCAGGAACTCAAACGTTTAGCAAAACATCGTGTTTTGAGCGCTATTTTGATGCGCCTTAATCATTCGCAAAATAACCGTTGTTATCACATGACGTTAACGCGGAGTGTTATGTTCGAAATCCCAATGACTGGAAATGTTGAAGTCAGGTGAGCGACTCATGACTCACAAAAGTTTTTCCTTGATCACGTTTCTCATTTACTTGACGTTTTACTTCATATTTCAATTATGATTATCCACATGGCTCGCTATTACCGTGTATAATATCCATTCTAGGGCGGTTAAGTCTCCCTTACCTCCGCGGTAACTGGAATTTATAACGTCAGATCTCCTTCCTCCGTAACTACACCCTCCTCTTAAGCTTGGGCAAAATGTCCAATCTCTGACCCAGGGTTCCTTCCTCCGCACCATGGGAAGCTGAAAGTTAGAGAATTTCAAGGGACTTCACCAGGCTTTTTTGAAACTTCGTATAATGTCAAGAATGACAGTTGCTTGCTCCTCAACCGTTTGTTATCTTATCCTAACTTATAGAAATGCAGGGCCCTCCTCACCCCATGGTCCCCATGTTCCTGCTTTTCATCAGCTTTCTAGTGTATTTGGTGACGATTCCACTGTGATTCCTGTGAATATTTATGTAGTCGATGAGGCACGCGTGGCTTGGGAAACATTGCGAAATAGGGTTGAGAGTAGAGGATTAGTTTCCTTTTCACTTCAATATCCTAACCAACTGCTAATGATCCCGAAATCTCGTATTCCGAACAAATTCCTTTTATAATTAATTTTATTAAGTTATGATTACTAATTAAATTTTATTAATATTTTATTCTCTACAGTCTGACACTTTTATTAATGATTCATATTTTGATACTTACGGCAACAACCTTCACACACAAACTGGCTTCTTCTAGTGGTTGCATGTTTCTTGACAACAAGGCATTCCTTTCATGTTTCTATACCGTAGAAGATTATGTGAACATACGGAATGGTTGAAGGAGCTTAACATAAGGGTCAGTTCCGTTCGGGCTAATGTTTCTGCTTCCCCAGGGCTGTACGCGGTACTCCCCTGCCACGGAGCCGTTTCCTAGAGAAGTGCTAGTTAACTTGAATTTATTTATCATTCGCTTATTTGATCCCTAATAAGCAACTCCTGAAACAAACTGGCACCTCCATAGGTTACAGAATCATGTTTCTTTGATAACTTCTAGTTGTCAAGCTGGGATTTCAATCGCGAGTCGTTTATTGGATATGACGGCCTCGTTCCTTGCCATAATTACCTCGTTTTATCGTTGATATTTCATTGAAGAATGTTTGATAATACAGCAAAACGGCGCAATGTGGCGGCGGAGGGGGCCCGTCGCTACTGCGGCGGTCAGCTGTTGGTATACTCAGTGCGGAGCAGCAAATCTGTGGGCCAAGGGGAGAGTAGCCAGTCTAGGGAGATGGAGGTGAGGGCAATCATTTGACATGCGTGAAAAGCTGGAATTTGGGTTTGAGTTTTCACTTTGTCGCGAATATGCCATGCGCCGCGGCGGCGACGCGGTGCCTCCCCCCCCCCTTGGAAATACTTCCCTGTTTTGTGAAGTTGCTCGTCGGTAAACAATGAATTTGTGACTAGATTACTGAATAACACTTCACTGTCTTTTGATTTTTTACTTTTCTATTTTTATTCCCTCTAACTGGTCCTTGTTTGTCAATGCAATTCGACAAGTTGAAGGTTCTTTATGAAGAGTATCTACCTGATTTTATCGCTGTCTTTTTCAATAAGCGAATATTACGGATTATTCCTTCTTGTCCGTGTTTCCCCCCCCCCCCGAGCCACATTGAGCCGACAAAGCTTTTGCAAGTTGGAGTAATGGTTGAAATCATTGTTTTTTATGTAGAAGTATTGCATGTTTTCGATTGGAAATACTTCCCTGTTTTGTGAAGTTGCTCGTCGGTAAACAATGAATTTGTGACTAGATTACTGAATAACACTTCACTGTCTTTTGATTTTTTACTTTTCTATTTTTATTCCCTCCCTGTCCTTGTTTGTCACAATTCCGACAAGTTGAGGTTCTTTATGGAAGAGTATCTACTGAATTTTTATCGCTGTCTTTTTCAAAAGCGAATCACGGATTAATTCCCTTCCTTGTCCGTGTTTCCAAGTGTAATTAGGGTTTTCTTTAAGATGGTATTCTTCTCATGTGCGCTAATGCTTTTTCCATGAATCCTCCGCTGCACATTTAATTTGACGCGCTCATGTGTGCCTTTCTAATCATTCGACTGGAACTCTTTTATATTAAGCGCCGCACTTTTCTCTTGTTGACGTTTTGTGATGATAGATTTTAAATCATGTGACACGTTGAATGCAGTGATGGGGATGTTGTTCCTAAGAGTTCACTGATTCTCATTTCAGTGTTTGTGGTCTGATGGCCGATTGTGCGGGTCCTTTACGACCTGCTGATAGCTGGTCCACGACGGAGGTCCGTTCAGTAACTCACAGGTAAGATATTGCTAGTTGCTTGATCGTTTTTACAATTTGTTCAGTTCAAGGAAATCAAGTAAAATTTTTATGTTAGTATCAGATCGATGAAAAGTGCCTGTTTCTCTGAAAGAATTTATTCTATTATAATTCTACTGTTGAATTGAATAGATAGGTGACGACGCTATTACTTGTTTATTTCAGCCATGTATGGACAATCAAGGGATTTAGTCAATGTGAATGTCGATATCTAGAAACGTCGGCAAAGATTCGCGATCTTACGGTATGTAGAGTTTTCTTGATTTTTTCGTTCGTTTACTTTACCTCCGTACCTGAACCTATTTCTTATGTTTTAATTCTTTTTTTTTCATTTTGTTCATTGACATTATTCATATCCTATCATGTGACAAAACGATTCAACCAACCCAACCATGGCTACCTTTTCAATACCCACCTTTTGTTTGCGCCGCTATTAGCTATGATGGCTGAATCTTCGCATTCTCTTTCCCTTAGAATTTGAACCATCGCTTCGGTTTCTCTGTTTCGTAAAGTCGTTAGGGTGACGGTTGAGTTTTTCTCTTGGTGAAGAATATAGAGTTGTTTGAGTTTTTGAAGAGATAAATGCTGAAATCTGCATATTAGGCTTCAGTCTTTGGTGCTTTCCTTTTGCCCTACTATGGCCAGATTTCTAGGATGTGGCCAATGTTTTTGTTTTCTGTGCATTACGTCAGCGTTCTGTAGGCTTCGCTATTAAAGTTGGGATTCCTGAGTGAGTGGCTATTTACCAAAATAGAATACTTGTGGATTAGGATTCGGCTTGTTTGTGTGCGACATCGGAATGGAAGGGCGTTAGAGCACTGAAATAACATGTTTTCGTCGTCGCACACGGGTCCCATCAAGTTGTTCTACCCATTTAGTCACTCGTGTTATGAGCGTGAACGAAGCCGTAGCGAAAACACTGTCGTCGTTGTCGTATTCGATGTTTATGGTGTTCGGGGCGATGAGGCTGTAGGCCACCTAAGAAGGGGCTGATATATCGGTAAACAACGAAGTCAAGGGATCGTAGAGAGGAAAGTCGTGTATCTGAACAAATATGGGGCTCTGCGAAGGTTGGGTCTGACAGGTTTGAGCAACGGTAGAGGAGAGGAGGAGAGGAGACCTTTGGTCTGTCCACCTTATGGTCGACGGACTACTTGAACTCAGCCTTTAAACCGCCTCTGCGTTCTCTCGTGGGTCCCTCTCCTCTCCAAGGCTTAGTCCTAGGGCACTCACCCGTTCTCTAATCGTCTGTGCTCTAGCCATCGCGGCAGGACCATTGAGGAAAAATCAAGTAGTCCGTAAACCATCCCCTTGTCAGTCTTTTCAAGGCCTGGTTTATGGGGGTCAGTGATGTAGCGAGTATATTCAGACCAAATGTACGGACTTGATCGAAGGTTGTTCACATATGGTTACGGTTTTCAGGATGCTTGTACCCTGGATAAATGACGGTGGAATTTGTCAGTGCAAGCCTTTTCAATCGGCTCTAACAGAGATATTTTGTTAAGCTGATGGGTTGGTTGGGCCATTATCAAGCCTCGGTGCGATTTTTTTTATGTCGAAGACTAGGCGATCTTCCCATAGGATTAGGGAGTATGAATGTCGCGCTGTTTGTTTTCTATAGCCGTGTAATCGAGATTGAAAAAGAACAGAGATAGATTTGAGCATCTGCGTTAGTAACAAACATTCATTCGGTGGGTGATTATGAAATTTTCCATTTATGGAGGATCATTACTCAACGAATGCCAGTTTTCTGGCGCGAAGAAAATACATACAGATGGGGACTGTTTTAAATGAAAATAATCGTACGGATGCAGTTCAAGAAAATCGAAATGCTCTTCGGTGGGGATGCGCTGAAAACGATGCAACTTTTATGGTTCATTTTCAGTAGCGTTGCTCGCATAAGAACCTATAACGACGTCACCTGGTCGAACTCATCCACTTGGGAGCCTTTATAATACATATTTGGAGTGAAATGTAATGTACAGGATAGACGTGAGGGTTAAGGTAATAATTTGGCTGAAACGAACAAATTGGTGACGAAATAGCTCTAAAGAAACGAAAAGAACTAAAAAGAGACCACAATGTCAAAGACGCACTGGAGTCGGCAGACTTCTGAGCTAGTGTTGTTTGGGAAACTCTGATTCCGCGATTCCATATCGTAAAGATAGTGTAAGATGAATTGAATTAGAAAATTGAAAAAGAAAAAAGCGAGATCGCAAATTTTAGGCTCGCCTTGCTAAGCGTTTCATCGCTGCGTCCTTACCGTTTAATAGAAGTTAACATCAAATATTTTTTACAAACCTTTCTTCTGTCCGGATGTTTAAGGCAAGAAATACTGCTAAGAATTGTTGCTGCTAAATATATCTATCTGCTAACCAGTTTTCAGCAAGTGACACCAATGCCCTTGCCGCCGACTTCGACGCCAAACGTATCGGCGGCCACCTTAGAACCTCCAATGCTAACGTTTCGCATCCGGTTACATCCTCAGGGCAATAAGGAGTCAAATAAGGATTTTAGCTTTTTTCAAGTATGTTTTCGTTTCTTTTCTTTGTCATTCTTCACCCGTTTTTTTCCTTATAATTAATATTTATTTTATCTACGTTAGGATTATGGTATCCGCCTTGATTTTTCTTCTTCTTCTCTCTAGCGTTAGTCCCGCGCAGTCGCAGGGTCCGCTGCCTTGGTTTTTTCATGATGCATGATTCTTGATTAGACGATTTCCTCTTGAATTTATAGGGCATTATATGAATAAAATCCGCGGAATGATTCGGGGTAAGACGAGGGTATCACGGCTTGGATGGCATTTTCACGTACAGTGCCACACTTTATCTCCGAACAGGGTTCCCACTGTGTCAAAAGGCCTGCTCTCTTTCAAAGAGCTGTCTTCTAAATTATAAGTCGGTAATAGGTTTGCCAGCAATAAGTAATGGTTAAGAGTGGTAAAGTTCAATGACAACGTAGCTAATTTCACAACAACCGTCTGTCCTGTCAGATAGCCCTTCTCCTTACTTTTGTTTTACAACAATTTGTTCAAGCTCATTTATACCTAAGTTCGTTTTATACCTATCTTCGTTTTATATAGAGGAGTTCATTGATGTTTTAGTTAGTTGGATTTTGAAGAATATTTTTGAATCGTTGGGCAGCCGAAGAGTTGAATATGAATGTGTTGATGTGATGTGTTATTTACTTGCCCACAAGATGTTCTTTCCGCTAAGGTCGTCGAGAACGGCAGAGGCTTTCCTGATTATGTACTGTGATCAGTTAAGCATGGGTTACTTCCTTTTAATTCCTGATTCTTTATAAAGGTTGCCAGGGTATGTTTGCCAGGAATTCCTCAATGCACTTTTGTCATGAAAGGCCTAGCCATGCTTTTCTCACGTGCTCTGGGTATAGTGCACAGGTCATAGCTCTGTGCACTTTCCTCAGAGCACGTGAGAAGCTCGTTCCCCAGCTGTTGAGGAAAAATACACAAGCTGCTGTTATTGGTATTAGGGAATGCACGACTGCCATACCCGTTTTCAGCCGCTTGTTTTTCTTTGAATGTAATCTCATTACGAACATTCTACAACGACGATTATGGGAAACGATCCCAGCTAGGAGCGTTGTGCAAGATAATGGCCTAAAAGAAGGCTCCGATTCTTTTATGTGGGAACCGCGCAACTGAATCGATACTGCAAAGATACTTTTGGGATCTGCTATTCATCTTCATTGCTTTGACGGAATCCTTCGCGAAAATTCTTGCATTCTTTCTCAGCATGAATGTGTCAGTTGTGATCACTGGAAACAGCAACAAGTTTCACGCATGAAGATTCGGTTTCCGAAGAGAAACAACAAAAACTACACTCTATGGACAATCGAAGGTAAAAGGGGCGGAGCCAAAGGCGAGGCATGGAAAGAAGTCCTTTGGCCGGCTACGTATCAGGCGACGCAATGAAAGAATCGGGTTAAAGCGCGCGATTTCGGAGAGTAGAGACAAATCGATCGATAGAATAGGATGGAGTAGAAGTGTGAGATGTGAATGCAATCAAAAGGCCAGAAAGAGTTTCTAGTGAAGGCACTCCAAGAACCAAGTGGAAGCATTCCCGTCGCCAGCATTTGTGACAGATGTGCGGCGGTACTTTGAACGCGTAGCAGCCCTTTCCGACTTTTCGAGTTTTTTTTTTTTTTACTAAATCAAATGCAACTTCTGTTCTTTTCATTCTTATCGTTATGGACAGTTATTATTGCTGAATAGAATATTTTTCCGTGATGATGCTTTAAGTAAGAGTTTCACTTTGCCTTTACGGATTAACCCCCCCTTCTTGTTGTGTGTTTAAAAGCCGAAAAATTAATTCTGGGCATCACCTGGTCGATATCCATCTTGTATCATCGTGTGGACTGAGTGAGGAGATACAATAAGTTTTAAGGTCGAAGAAAGCTGGAGGGAATCACTAAAAGGTCCACCGATGAATTGTATATCCTTAAGGTGTGCCACATATTCAGCTTCATTCGGGACGTACCATTGTGGCAACGCCTTGTCTATTTCATTGCCTGCGGCGGCCAGCCATTGGCTAGTTCCATTTTTACCATCCGTGAAGAAAGTATGATCAGCTAAATCGGAGGGATAACTATTATTTTGCCCAGCCTGGACCGTAACAACTAATTTAACCAATGGACTACCTGCGGTAAAGGTCATATTTCTCACTACCTTACCTTCTCCCAGTTTCTATTGAGCTTTCTCAAGTTTTCTTGGGCAGATGAAGATATCGAAAGGGCTGAAAGAATCGGTGCATCATGGGTTCATGTAGCAATCATTAGAACGAGAAAAAGTTGCACGCAGAAAGCCCTTTCCTACTTCGTTAGTTTTTGTTTTTATTCTCAATCTGTTCTTCGATGCTTGACCTTTTTCTTTGTTCTGTGGCCTCTCACATTTTTACATAATGATGCCATTTCTGTTTAATCGCTTTGTTGAAGTACATACTTCCTAGTATATTTGTGTAGTTTTCACGTTTTCCTTAATGCTAATGTGAACTTTTCATTACCCCTGTTTGCACTCTGCGCTGTATGACCACTGACCGAAGATTGAAAGGCGAGTTGCAAAAGTTGCTGTTCGGCTGTCATAAACGAGATCAAAGATTGTCAAGAACGATGGATAGACTCGCGCCTGTCATCATAAAGCTCGACCAGGAACCCCAGAGTCCAACGGTGGAAGGGTGAAGTTCATAGCGAAAGACGGATGGACTTCTTGTGAAACGCCCATCGGAGGCGAAAGCGTTGGGGATTTGAAGAATTTCTCGCAACTGGCGTCCGTAAAGGCATGGAGCGCCACTGCAACGCGCAATATCCATTGATCGAATCCTTTCCTTGCCAGACGTCTGACTAACAAGGTCGATCAATCAACGGTACAGCATTGAAAATTATAAGAATTCAATGAGGGCTTACTTGGCCTCAGAAATTGTGCGGCTACAGAATATTCACGTGCGTCCACGAATTTCGATAGAAATCGGATGCATGGCGCACCCTGCATTTCGACTTTTACAATTCCATTCTATTTCAAGTCTGAATTACAAGGTCACTTGAAGGTGTTTGTGTGAATTAACAATACACTCGTGGTTGGGCTCTGAATCCCACACTCATAGAGTGCACGTGCGATCTCGCCTGATTCAATAGCGTCGTTTCGGATGGCTTAAATTGAACGTGGGATCTTCTATTCACACAGAAAAACGATGCAGTTTGGAGATTACGATGACTGTAATCGCTGAGAGCCGATGGCTGAGAACAGACATCTGTTCCCAGCGGAATATTCTAGACGAATACATGATGCAACACCCGACGACAACTTGTTATCGTCGTCGCAAAACTGGTACTACAAGTCCTGTCGACGCTATTACTACTATAGTTTTGCTGAAAACAAGAATAATGGCTGTTTTCGAGCTGCGCCAGTCAGCCGGCTTGTCACATTCGCGGTCCAGCAGGCTGGTGGGACGGACGGACGTGTTTTCATCCGATTTCATTAGAAATGTTGACAGTGCGGTGCTGCTGTGGTTGTAGGCTTGGTTGCTGTTGGTGTAGCCGATAGCGTCGGCAATGACTGTGTGTGAGTAGTGAGCTGAAGGAAAACATGTTGGGGATTTTGGGGAGCGATTAGTTGAAGGCTGTTGACGTGCTCAGGATTTATGAACGAAGAGCTTATTTGTGTCCGAGGGTGACTAATCTTGGCGATATCGCTGGAATTTTCCAAGATTTTACGTTGGTGGGTTGTATTTCGTTCGCTAAATTGGTTATTCGAAAGTAGCTATCCGGTGGTGATGAAAGATTGCTGCTTCGTTGAGTCTGTAAATTCGGCAACGGCAGATGTCCTGTTTACAGCTGAAGAAGCTCGACAAAGTTCAAATACAGCGACAACATGACCTTCTTTTGTCAATAGAATTACGAAGGTAAATGAGTTCTTCAGAGCTTTCGTCGGCTTCGTTGGTTATCCGGTTCTTTTTATCTGGGAACGTTAAAGGGTTGACTAATGGTTTTGCTCGAACCTGGAGAAGGGTGTGGCTTAATGGTGGGCGGGGTTTGTGAAGTGGCTGTGGACGTGATGAGCCTTTTCACTCTACTCCAAGAGAATCTGCAGTGTGAAACTGCCTCACTTTATCCGTGGACGGTTTTCGTGAATCGTAGAGCAGTGTCCTGGAGTTCAGAAGTGCTTGTGGAAGTATTACCGAGAACAAAAAGGATGTGCTCTTAACCTTGAACTCATGCCGTGGTTTGTTCAGACTCACTCTGATGTGGCCTACAACGGGCACAGGTCACCCAGTCTTGGAAAAAGGCGAAAACTTTGCTGGATCAGCTTCTGGAAGTAGTGTACTCATCTTGTGATAACCTTGTGATAACAATTCAGGCACAATGCGACAGCGAATTTTAGAGCCATTTAAGAAGCTCCCAGAATTTGAATTAAGCTCTCCTGGATACGAGGGTTTGATTGATGTGTGGATTAGGTGTGTGTTTAAATTGTTCATCAAAGAACATCGTGGTGCAAAGATTGCGCATTGAGTGGGAGAGCATCAAACATGACGATTAAGAAAAAGGGCTAAAGGTCGATTGGTTTCATTGGCACACACCACGTGTGGGCTTACATTGCGAATCTCGAAGCCATCAATGCTCATAATGGTTGTGCAATTCCTTGTTAGTCGGTCTTTATGTTTGATCAGTTGTTGTCCGAGAATCCACCAAATGTTTGTACGAGACCTGCGGTTCGAATCGAAGAGGAGTGTTGATATGCGAGATTTCATCTTGCAAAGCAGACATTAGTAACCTCACATCGCAGCTAAGATTTAGATACTTGGTGGGTATGTGGAATATCTAACTCCTCAGTTAGTTAGTCAGCTCAGCGATACATTATGAGATAGGTGCTGGAACACCCTGTCATGTCTTACTTCTGTCGAGGCCATCTGCACGGTAACTCGGTCTACATGGGAGTCCTTCTGAGACGCGCCGTGCCTCCCATTTTCATTCGGACGTGGAAGCGTTTGAAGGGGTATTCGACCTACACAATGCATTGCAGTGGTTTCCCTATGTTTGACCTAACATATATGTTTTCCATGCCAGCAGAGATTATTGTCCTCCACGTCAATGAAAGTTCTTTGGCTTGGTACAACAAAGTGAGGCACGGTGCAAGGCCCAATCATCGCATAACGTCTGTCGATTTTTCCCATAAAGGATAAAAGGGTAAAGCTTTGACGTTCACCCATCCCATTTTGGGATGCGCCATGCATTCTGCTTCTCTCAAAGTCATAGTGCCAGAATGGCCCATGCAGTGACTTGCGGTGGTCGGTCGATATACAGTTCCGTCTTTTTATTCTTGCAGACATTTCTGGTAGCATTCTGGCTTCGGAGGGATAGAGGGCTTGGTTGGCCTGGGCAGGGATTGATCCAACAGTTGACGGACCACGCGCATGGAACTGATACCACTTGCCATTGCACCATCACTGCCCTGTTCGCTTTCGATTTCTGCCATATGGCACATGATTTGCTAGCGTTTTCAACAAAAACATGTTGATGTTGTAGCCCTTTCGCCTATGATTGCTACAGGGAAAAGGCCTGAATAGAAGCAGCGTGTTAGATCCATGTTTTGCCTTGACGTGAAATCGCTGCAGTGACAGCTGAGACGGATTGTGTTTTCGTGTGTGAACGAGAGCCTAGCGCTATATGGGAAATATTTTCATGTGGCCGTTCCTCGGCGTGTTGGTGTGTGATCGATGTTATTGAGGGCTCAATGGAGATGTTATTAGGATTAGTAATAGAGGAAGTAAATGGAGCTTATGAGAAGGGAGCGAGTAGAGAGTTTTAAGAGCGATCGAAGGTGTGAAGACAAGAACTGATCCTTCTCCTAAGTCTAGAAATATTGTAAACAGCTGACTTCCTTTTGGTTTGATGAATGATTACTACGGTTTTGGGAACTCAGCCGCATCTTCTGGGGGACAGGGATGTTGCACCCATGAGATTTGATGACTTGGCTGGCCGGTGTCCGTTTTTGCAAGTAAGCGGGTAAGCGGCTGGCTGAGTTTGCCATTAGTGATTTCCGCGAATGGCACGATTCTTGCGATTGCTAATTGCTGGAGTCGATGAAATAGCAAAGCAATGCCTTACGACCGAGCAAAGTTGGCTCTTTCTGACTTGTCCTCAACCTTGACCCTAACTCTCCCCTGAATATAACCCTGCCCTGAGGGGGGTTATAGTTAGGGGGGGTTATAGCAAAGCATTGCTGTGCGATTTCCGCGATTTCGACAATTTCGTCAGTCTCGAGAATCGCGAAAATCGCTGTTGGCAAACTGGTGCCAATCGCTCAAATCGCAAACTCTGACATCGGCCAACCTTCTCAGAGCAATCAAGCGCAATTTCTGACTCGGATCACTGTGGCGAATGTTTTCTCCTTCTCCTTATTATCATCTATTTCTTCTTCACGGCCACCATGTTAAAATTCCTCACTCCTCATCCCTTCATTCCTTTCATACAAGTGGAATTTTGTGAAATGTAAATTTCCTTCTTTTTTGATTCACTAAACTTATAGATTTTTGTCATGGCGTTTTCGATAGTTATTTTGCTTAGTTTATTTTTATAGTGTCTGCATTTCAGTGTTTCTCTAACCAGACGAATGTACAGTTCAAGGCCAAGTTCAAATTTACTGTGTTTAACTCAAGAAATGAGGAAATCCCAACGACCGTCTATACAGGAACCCAACAGGCACGTCTTTATTTTTTAGATTCAGTTTAAGATTTTTCGAAAATTTCTGATGTCGCTACATTCATTTTGGTTTGAAATGTGTGAAAAACCAAATGAAAGACGACTTCAATTATTCATGATCGGCTTGGGACTTGAACTTATTTCTGTATTTTTTAGCTTCATGGATATTTCGAGTATATACGAAGGGATCTCCTAATCAGTCATGTACATCCGTCGGATGAATTGCAATTGGTGCTTAATATGACGGTTACTTTCGATACGGTAACGAGAACTAGTCAAGCGCCGAAAACTCTCGGCCCACCTGAACCAAAACCAGCTGAGGTAAGTCTGTGTAGCAGGTGGTGTCATATTTTTATACGATGAGTAAAACTGGCAAGTATTGCGGCAGTTGGAATGGTGGTCGTAAATTTTGTAAAGGTTATTTTCTTGCAGGTAACGAAGGATCTCGAATCAATATTCAAGGACGCAAAATTGTCCGATTTCACCATTGTTGTAGGCGATAAAGAAATCCCTGTTCATAAGGTATTGAATTTATTTGAATCGATAATTGTTGATGGAAATAGCAGGAAGAAGATGAAAGGCAGAAAATTGGGGAAAGGAAAATGCATGAAAGGATCGGGTAGAGAAGAGTGATATGTCCATGGGAGCCAGCTGGGATGGGAGTAAAGGAGAAGATGTGTGACGGTATGGTATGACATTTTGATAGAGCAAGGGTCATGTTAAATGGGTGTACTGGTAATGGCTGGTCACTAGATATGTACCGGTTTTATTTGGGGATATAATAGATGAAAGATAGTCCTGGTTTCATAGGAAAGGGAGAGCTTATTGTGATCCTCTTCTTCTCATATCCTTTTTAGAATAAAAAAACAAGTGAGCTTTCTCTCTGACTCAAATTAACTTTATGGGTTTTGGAATCTGATTGATTTTGAGCTAATTTTGTGAATTTAGGTAGTCCTTTCGGCACGATCTCCCGTGTTTGCGGCCATGTTAGAGCCTCATACGGAGGAAGCAAAGACGAATCGGGTTGTTCTTGAAGATATAGATTACGAGGTGAGAGTTGCCATTGTATTGTTTTTGTTTTCTTGAATATTTATTTGTTTAGTTTCCTACGTCTTTTTTGTGCGATATAATAACATCTTTTCCACATAACAACTTAGATAATATTTTCCATGCACAGAATATTTAACTATCATCTTTAAGGTAATGCATGAATTATTGATGTACATGTACTCTGGCCGTTCACCAAATATTCAACAAATGGGCTTGGAATTGCTAGCTGCTGCTGATCGGTTCCAATTACCCGGGCTGAAAGATATGGCTGATCATGTAAGTTATTTCAAACGTGGACTCTCTTGATGTGACCTCCACAGAATTGACGTTTAAGGTTTGCACAAGCTCTCTTAAAACTGATAGTATATCAGTTTTGGTTTTTTTTGTTATTCCCTTATATCTGTAACGGTTTAGGTCTTAAGGAGTGGTTTAATCGTTGATACAGCATGCAAGTTTCTCGTCTACGCCGATATGTATAACTCAGCTGAGCTGAAAAATGAGGCAGTGAAGTTTATTGCTCAAAATATCAACAGCGTTATTCAGGTGGGTGTTGTGATTTATTTGCTAATCTCATTCGAAGGTTTTATGCGTTCACCTTCCTAGTGTAGCGTTCCCGGGCAGTGTGCAGCACGTCCTCAGCCCAGGACAGATCTCATTTCCAACGCGCGGCAAATGGTTCGTTTGAGGGTGGCGCTATAAGACTTGCTGAAAAGCAACCAGTCGTATAGCGCGGCCCTTCGAACAGCTTCTCTTGCTGTAAATTGTGGATGATCCTCATCCTCCACTGGAGGCGTTTGTCCCGGGTGTGGAAACTAGTGGGTGTTGTGTGAAATAAGCGCAAAAAGTGATTATGTACCGGGGTCTGTCAAGGTCGATTTCATGAGGTGATACTCGTGCCGCAACCTTCCGAAGTAATTTCTATTCTGGAATACTTGAAAATTTTCAGACGGACACCTGGGCAGAACTAACTCGGGATCACGGTTGCCTCGTGACGGAAATCGTCGCGCATATGTCCAGTGAACGGAAACCGTGTATAGGGAGTGTGAGCAGTGCTGCGAACAGTCTCCATGGAGTCTCATTGAGCTCTTCCAGTACGTTTTTGTTTTGTTTGTTGAAATGTTTTTCTTGTAGTCCCTTCGAATGGAAACTGCCCTCCTTTTATACAAATCGTAGCATTGACATCGTTTGTTCACAAAGGAAAAGTCTAGGAAAAGTTCTGCAACGGTGTTCATCTGTAAGGGATGTTTTGTTAAATCTGAGAACTGCGCTTTCCTTGAAGATTTTCAACAAAAAAAAAAGAACTGGTGGCGAATCTTTTACGCCGAACACGGAAGCCAATATCCATAAACGTGTTTTCTTTAGACATGGGGTCCAAAGATGCTCCTGAGGGGGGGGGGCGGGGGGGGGGAACCGTGCCTGTTTCCGAGTGAATGTTTTTGTGATAGCCATTTAGAATTGTAGAAGCATCGAGTTCAAAGATTTTTTTTATAGAAAATTTCAAAGTTGTGAAAAATTGGGTTTTCTAAACTGCAAGGTTTTCCATGTTGCTCAATACAGGTAATTCAAATGATCAAACGAAGTAATACCGCTCTAAGCCTGCAATCGTCCATCGAGTATAGCCGCGGGCTAGTGCGTTATTACTTCGTGAATTATTCAAAAAAGTTCGTGCCAGTGAGAAACCTACCAACATGAGGGTTCCGAAGTATGATTATCTAGTACGTAGGAAATAAGGTAATAAACCACTAGCTTGTCGGATATGCTTGTATTTTTACTCGAATCAATCGATATGTATTTGTTTCAGTGTCAGGAATCGAACCACCTAGTAAACGTATACGTCTGCTGACACATGAATAGCAAGAGCTCTTCGTGAAGCACATAAAGTAGGATATTTTTTATTGCATTCGTCATTAATTTCCAGTTTTGTGTGAATTGGTGTTCCACTTAAGATAACTGTGCATAATAAACGCGTCATCATTGAAGCTCTTTACCCTTAGCTTTCCTTTCGTTTCGTATCTTCTTTTTCATGATAACAAATCATATTGATCAAGCACTAGCTTCATCAATACTGTTTGTCTTAGTATTTCCCACGTTTTTTTTTCTAAACATGTGCTATAGATTATTACTATTGCAACTATATAGTGATAGTATTTATTTGGTGATAGTGTTGGATTGATGACAAGTCAGGGCCAGTTCAAAACACGACAGAAATCCTTGAATGTTGCGCGGCCGTGTCGCGACCGCACGCGTGTGTGGCAGGTATAGGTGCAGTGGCATTTTTTGAAGCTTTTTGATCTCATATGAGTAAAACTTTGCTTGGTTTCCTCTGCGCTAAAAACTTTATGGTTGAAAGGAGTTCTCAAAAAGAGAAACTAGGCTTACGGTTTCATCACTTTCGGTATACTTTCGGTTTGGAAATGAATAGAGCTCCTTACAGCTTTTTCGATTGGCCGAATTTACGATTTTGAAGAGGCGTGGATATTTCCCTTTGGCGGAAATATGTCATTTTTTGAGCAAATATTTTATAATATGTTATTTGCTATTTGAGGAAAGTTTTAGAACTTTCGTCTGATTTAGCGCTTATTGAAGGTATCGATTTCACGCGCGCAAGTTCGCACCCTATGCATGCGTTTGAGGAATATATAGTTGGCAGAGGAACCTCATGATCTTTGAATTTTCTGAACGTTGAGTGTATAGCTTATGTGGCCCACTCAAGAAAAGATGTTGAGGAGAAGTGTGGACGGGGCGATCCGGACGGGAGTTTGAATGGTGCGTCTTTGGGGGCGTGGCTCGGGATCGCCCCGCCTACACCAGGCGCAACATCTCTAAAATTAGATCACTTATACTTGGAGGTTTCGTCACTTGGAAAACAATTTTAAATAAATTTGAACTGGCTGGCTGTTGTCATCGACCAACTGAAAATCTTTCATTCGTTCACGATCATCACAGATCGCTCTTTACCGTAATGAACAGGTATTACACTTTCTGTGTTATAATGTATAATGTGTTTTGTTCCGTTTGTATTTTATCTCTTTTTCTTGTCACCGTCTAGTTTTTTTCCATGAGCGCATTTTTCGGTACGTTTTGAGTTCTCGCGGCGTCCCAGTTAGCCCCGGCGAAGAAGGCAAATTCAGCGGACGAGTCGCGCGCGTACTATAGGGATTTCGCGTCAAGTCAAATAGAGTGCCACCACTGCACGTCCTACATCGCACACCACGCGCTGCAACTCGTCCGCCGACTCTGCCTTCTTGCCGCGCGACGGGCCTCCTGCGGGGTACCTGTTTTGTTCGCGTTACACCGTTGGGTAGATCAGATCACTAGAGTGTATTGATTTGATTTGTATACCATTTTGTAACACAGTATCAGTGATCTGATTCTGATACTTTATTTTTGGTAATGATGATGTGAAATTTAATGTTGTACGTTCCGTACATGCTGGTATTGTCCGATAAAAAAGATGCTCTGTAACTGTGTTTGTTCGGAAATCGACTGATAAGGAGATGTTGAAGTCAGGATACTGTATGGATGTACTTTTGTGTTCTTTCAATGAAACAATGAACACTTCAGAGAACGTACATATTTGCGTGGTCGAGTGGCGATTGATGACGAAGGGATGGTGTTCGGGAATATTGATTGTCTCAGAAACCGGTTCGGGAGAGCTTAAATCAAATGAGTTTACAAAAACGGCAGCTCCAGCAACAACCCCAGATGAGGTCATGTCGAAGTTATGCTTGTGTGGAATATAGTACTCCCTGTGTCACAGACGTACCGTTGCGGCAGGTCGAAGTGCGCTGCAATGCGTCACGTCACTTTAAAAGGCGTTCTGTGGCGGATAATATGATGTTTGGCGAGTGACCTCGCGCGCAACTTCGATATCCAGAAAACATACTAGTATTTGCTATGCGCTATTCAAATACCGTGAAGGGGGGGGGGTGTTGACACGTAGGAGCATCGAATTTCAGCAACTCGTCTGTCCTGCCCTTCACTATATTCAAGGAGGAGGGAGGATTATATGTAATAGGTTTGGCGGTGGTTTGTCTTTCTATGTTCTTTTTTCTCATATTCAGTCACTCGCATCCACAATTTTCATTATCAACCGCTGCTCCCACCAGTTTGATCTTGGGTTGTTGCTTGAAGGTGGATGTTGTGAGTGATGTAGGGAGAAAACGGGTTAAAACCCGAGAATTATTCGTTTGTCATTACATTTTCTCACTAGGGAAAGTCTAATTGGTGCTGACACCATCAACGTGAATAATTTGCTCTGCGTTCTGCAACACGGCTAGATTCCGACGGCGAAGGGATGCCAGTCGTAGGACTTGTAGTGTCGCGAGCGTTGTCGGTACGTCTGGAGGCTGCTGGGGCGCACCCCCTGCATGAGAACGTGCATCGTCCCCACCTTTATAGCTGGGGGCGGGTAGTCGTCTTTTCCGTTGGAATTATTTTCCATCTTCGACCTCGACCTTGCGTGAGTCCTCTAACAGCCATTCACACTACCTGGTGTGGTCAAATTGTCAGAAATCGAAAGTAGATGCGATGGTTGTGTCACTCTAGTGAGGGAGTGTCAAGTGAATCTGCTAGACGATCAAACTTCCATGTCCTGTCGCCAGATATGGAGGAGGGGGGGAGGTGGAAGACTGCAGCATAGCTCTGTCGTGTCATTAGTTTCCTCCCCTTTATGCTAACAAGAGGGACTGACCAGCAAGAGGGTGCAGTATAGGTTGCCACCCATACGATTAACGTGGAAATGTTTTAGGGTGTTTTTTGAGGTTTTGTTTCGGCTGTTCTCATTGCTGGACAACTAATCCCACATGGACGTTTTAGGGTCAAGAATCCATTGTCAGAGAATCGCGGAACTATTATCCAAGTGCGAAAGACATTCAGACACAAAATGGTGGGGAGCACAACTGGCAAAGCGCCTCGGTGCATCACAAAAACGGAGATCGATTGTCGCCGGTAGAATCCCACCCAGACCAAGCAGGCCTCCTATGAATCCAAGATCGCGATTTGCTATCATAATCTCGTAGCATTCAAATAGGGAACAAGCTACCCGAGAAATTCTGGCCTGAACTCAGAGAGGCCTGTCTAGAAGTGAAACTTCTCTATTGTTATACATGTAGTTAGTTATCACATACAATTTTGCATAGAAGTAGATGCGTGCGCAGTTATGAGGGGGGGGGGGCGGGGGGGGGGGGGGGGGGGGGGGGGGGCGGGTGATCATCAATAATTGCTCAAGGGCATCTAGCGTCAAATAACTGCGAATTTGGCTTACTACCATTTCTTATGATTTGTTTAGAACAGGAATTGCCTTTTCGGGGTCCAAACTAATTTCTGATCTATAGTGCAAAAATTATCATTCGTTGTTTCGACGCCATTGGCCTGGCAATCACAGATCATTGTTTTACGCGAAATACGCATTCAGGTGCTTGTAAGGTAACTTAACCGTTCCCAGGAATTTCTGGATCAACACTAAGCGATTGTTGATTTACCCGTTCAAAAAATGGATCGTGAAAATCAAAGGCCACAAATTTCCCCGTTATGCGCCACGCATTTGAATTCTGCTTGATATCTTGAGTGATTTTGATGCGCACTTCTTCTTTGCGTTGATTTATAAGAGAGTCTCATCCTCCCAGGCAATTGATCAGGTTATAAATAATTAGGGAAAGGGGCTATCGCAAGATACGGGGCATCCTCTAGAACTAAGCCCAGAAGGGAACCGGAACTTCATGGAAAATGAAAATCACTCACGCATCCCTGAAGTCTCTCCTCCTCCGCTTAAAGGCTTAGTCCCGATTTCAACAGAAGGAGATGAGTTAAGCGTCTTCAGATGCACTGCCATCCCTGTACCCCGTATCTTGCGATAGCGCCGGGGAAAGATAGTTTTATTCGCCCGAACGAGGTCCAGGGATGTGGAGCGCGCTTTCTTTGCCCCACCCATCGCAATCCCTATTTACCCATGGGTTTCTAGAACGAAATGAGATTGCCTAATAAGACTCATAGACTGGAAGTGCCAGACACAGACAATTGACTCGGTGCTCTATTATGGAAGACCTCTACCCTTTTCTTTTTATTTATTTCCTTTATTATACCTATTGTATATTGATTTGTTCGTTCACATATATTATGCTATATTATATTGTTTCATTAGTTTATTTATTCGGCCGCAAGTGGTGTATGGTAAGTGGCGCTGCTTACCACCGCGCCGTCGGGGGAGCAAAGGACGTGAGCCACCGTGGATCGTGAGCTGTCCAGGCTAACCGAGCCTATACCTTCGGGGTCGGTAACTTGGTCCAGACTATCTGGGAGGATAAAAACACTGACTTGTACATCGGCTGGCCCCCGCAAGTCATTGTATAGGCCACATCGCATTCAAATGCCACTACGAATGTAAATGGAAGTAGAATGCGTGCCGCATCTCCAAAATGGGATTGATGGAACACCGAATGCTTTATCCTTTTGTTTGTTTGCTTACACGCGTATGATGGAGAAGGACGCAAATGCGGACAAAAACACGCAAGGAACACTAACAAAGAGTTCTGTGAAATAGTCAAAAGATGGTGGGAGTCTGGGGGAGCGGTCAACAGAATCGTTCGGTCGCCGCGTGCAGCCGCTTGCGTGCGTGTCGCGAAGCGGCGATTTTCCGATGGGCGCGGGATCTTTAAATTCGGCTTGGAGCTGGTTTTTCTTGTAGACCTTAAAGCTCTATGTGGGGCGTGAACATCAACTTCCAACTTACTAGCTCTGGTCTTTCTTAGAAATAGGGAACCTGTTTGTCTTCAAGTTCATTATCCGAATATCGAAAAACGCGGAAAGTGAAAAAGGTTTGAGGAAATTGAAACTATCCGCGCATTGATTGAAAT